CAGCGAGAGCTCGTTCATCGGGATACCGCGCTTCTCGCTCTCGGCGACGCATCGGCCAGAAATGTGGTGCGTCTCGCGGAAGGGGACGCCCTTTCGCACGAGGTAATCAGCCAGATCGGTAGCCAGCATGAAAGGGTCCAGGGCAGCCTTCATGCGCTCTGGCCTGACGGTCAGAGTGACGAGAATGCCCTGTGCGATCTGAAGACTATCAGAGATGGTCTTGACGTGGTCCAACATGGGCTCCCAACTCTCCTGCAAATCCTTTTGGTATGTGCTGGGGAGACCCTTCTGGGTCATCATCAGGCCGGCCATGTGGCCAAAGGTTCGACCAGCCTTTCCGCGCAACAACTCCAAGCCATCCGGGTTCTTCTTGTTCGGCATCAACGAACTTCCAGTGGAGTACGCATCGGCGATTGAAATGAAGCCGAATTCTGAAGAGGAGTACAGGATGAGATCCTCGGCCCATCGAGAAGTATGTTGCATGAACATGCTACCCCATTGCAGGAACTCAGTGACGAAGTCTCTGTCGCCGACGGCGCCCATGGAGTTCCACAGGAGGCCTGTGAAGCCCAGCTCCTCGGCCATCATATCGCGATCGATGTTGAAGCCGTTGCCGGCGAGAGCGCCAGCACCGAGCGGGCTCCTGTTCACGCGCTTGGAAACCTCGCGCAGACGGTCGAGATCACTCTGGAAGGCGAAGCCGTACGACAGCAGGTGCTGCGACCACCGGACCGGCATGGCGCGCTGGAGATGGGTATATCCAGGCATGAGAATGCCACTATTTGAAAGATCAGCAAGGGGAGGTTGCCGGATTTGCGGGGTGATGCTCAGACTTACACCTCTGCCTCGGCGCGGGCGGCAATCACCTCGATAAAGGCGACCAGGTGGCTCTCAATCTCCTTGATCTGGTTGTTCAGCCACAGGCGCATGTCACAGGCGACCTGCTCATTGCGACTGCGACCGGTGTGCAGCTTGCCGGCGATGTCCTTGCCGATGATCTCGCCGAGCCGGCGCTCGTTGGCAGTGTGGATATCTTCGTCGTTGGGCATGATGACAAAGGTATCAGCCTCCCACTCCTTCTGCACCTCCCGGAGTCCCCTCTCGATTTCGGAAAACTCGTCGTTGGTGATGATGCCGGACTTTGCGTTGGCGCGCGCAAACGCGATGCTGCCGAGGATATCCTCCTTGAACAGGAGCTTGTCGTATCCTATACTCGCATTGTACTTGAGCATGAGGGGATCGAGGCCGCCTATTCATTTCTGGGTTAGCACAACTGCAATTGAACTTGCCAATTGAACTTATTGGGGGAAAAACAAGCTTACCTGTGAAGCGGCCACCCCAAAGCATGTTCTCTGCAGGCGTCTTTCCAGGTGCCATGATGACTGCGTTGGTATCTGGCGCGGGGGGGTATATGGGGTATCTAGAGGGGTTGAATTGAGTAACTTCAAAAAAAGTTAGCTAAGAGCTGCTCCGTATCGGAGGGAGTTCCAATTTATGTCGATTACCTAAGAAGTGATAGAGCTCTGTATTGGTGAGTCATTCAGGGTCACGTGATGGATGGTATGAGTCGACGAAAGTTACCCGGTACCTTGCGATAGCAATACCTATCACCACCGAGTTCAAGAGGGGGCTTCCCAGGATCACCTCTCTTTTAATCCACCATGTTCAAGTTTTAGTTCTTATCTCTTCCATGCCTTAGCATTGAAGCAGTTGGACCTTGATCATTGCACCTGTTGCGGACCAGCCACGTGCATCGTCAGCGCGTGCAATGTCAGCAACCGCAAGGTCAGCACATACTGATCTTGACCTTTCTACCATCTCTGCCGGCACGTGGTGATGGTGGTTGTGGAAAGGGCTCTTAGAGAGGATAAGGGGACTTCTACCTGTAAGTCGCTGATGCCTTTTAGGTTGGCCCCTGAAGCAAGGAAAGAGGGAGAGATTTCGGAGCTTGACTCTTGATACCGTTGTTAACTGAACATGATACCGGACTTTATGACATCAAAGGGGGCATATTGCCCTATCTTAATTCTTGAAATTCAATCACCTATAGAATGCTAGCATGTACACCTTGAACGCCAGTATACTCTCTTCAGCCATGTAGTATCTCCCTCGATTCATGTGCCCCTTTTCCCTCCTTCATATCCAAGTCCTCTTGTGTCCTAGCTATCGCAACATGCAATCTCATCGAAGCCAGACATAACTCACGATATCAACCTCCTCCACCCAGAAGAGGCTCTCTTCGTTTTCACACTAGTACTAGTAGTCGCCGTCGCTTGCGCCGTCGCCGCTTGAGCTGCGGCAGCCTGCCCCCGATTCTGCCGCCCCGTCGCCCCCTCGTACCATTCGAGAGCCGCGTCCAGCGGCTCAAACGGGTCCCACGGCCGGTTGACGGGTTCGATGAGCACGTCGGCCATGAGGTACTTGCTCGCGTTGGCAATCACCGTCTCCACGTCGACGCGCACCCGGAACCGCTCCAGCTCCACGTCGACGCCCGCAGGGGTCGGCCGGAACATCGTCTGCAAGTCGTCGAATGAGAAGGTGACTTCTGGTGGTTCTTGTTGTTGGTTCTCCTTTGCTTTTGATGAGCTCGTACTCTTTGCTTGGTTCTGGTTCTGGTTCTGGTTCATGCCCGGGAAACGAGGCGGTAGCTCGCGGGCGTGGAACCCGGCTCGGATGCCGTCCGTGGACCCGAACATGATGAGCAGCCGGGACCCGTCCGTCCGCGCGAATGTGACGGCCCCGGCGAGCTGGCCCGCCGCCTTCGGGATGCGGAAAGCAATCGTCTTCCCCGTCGCCGTGTGGATCAAGTCCCTTCCGGAACCCCTGCTCGACGTGCACGCCGCCGGCCGGTCCCCTCTGTCGGCCTCCTTGGAGTGCACGAGATTCAGCACCGAGTACTGGTCACGCGGCGGACCCTTTCGGAGCTGGATGATGTGCTGCGGAAACACACCCTCCGCGTCCGCGACGCCGTTGAACGTCTGCCGCACGTAGAGCGTCTGCTTGTTCCCTCGCTCCTGGACTTTGGCGAACTGGTTCACCCGCACGCGGGCGAATTGCTGATCTCCGCCGCTCGAAATCTTTTTGAGGTAGATTGCTAGGAAGGTAGAGTCTTCGTAGTCCGGCGGCGCGGGACAGTCGAGCGCGGCGACGAAGATGTCTTGGTCGCGCAGCGTCAGGGGTAGATCGATGCGCAGGCCGCGGTTGCTCATGAAGTACGGCGGCCGCGGCTCCCAGTCTTGGTAGGGCATGATGGAGTTGGAGTAGGCGAAGTTGGCCGGCGACTTGGCCAGCAGGCCGTGGTAGGTCTCGGTTGAGGCGGAGAGGTCGACCCAGGCGAAGAGAGACTGGTCGTCGGACTGCTTCATGATTTCCTCTTGGAGGCGGAGGAAGGCGCGGTCGCCTTCGCCGTAGAGCATGGGCATATTGACGCCAAAGAGGCCCATCAGGCAGTAGGCCACATCCTCTGGCCTCGTCGTCTGCCGGTGCGCGGCCCAGGACATTCGCTTGGCGAGGCTCGCTGATTCGAGGGGTCTGAGGCCCGTGAGGATGTCTTCGTCTATGCCTGTGATGACGGATAGAGGCCTGCTCAGCGTCGTCTTCTCTCCGACTTTCACCCAGTCCTCGGAGAAGAAGACCATCTCGGCCGGGGCGATTAGTTCCTGAAGCGTCCAGCCGCGCGTGAACCACCGGCACGAGGCAAACGCGCCGTCCGTCTTGACAGGGTCGACGGTGGCGGGGACGCCAGAGAGGTAAGTGTAGCAGACTTCTGACTTCATGTACCACTCGTACATGGAATTGATGGCCTCGGAGAGCTCCGCGCTGCTGCTTTTGTCGATGCAGCATGAGTCGATCCAGACGTATTCGAGGCCGTCTGCTAGGGTTTGAATGCAGCTATAGCGGACCTTTTGGAAAGCTGGCTTGGTGGCGGCATTTTCGTTTCTAATATCGGCGTAGATGACTTCGTTGTCGCCCCAGGTGTGCGAGAGAATGGCGTACCGGGGGAGCTGATCGGGGTTGAAGTCGACGAGCTGGAGGTTGCTGCTGTGTATGGATGAAGCTTTAATTAAGCGCATCTTGAGGTTGCGATGGCAATTCGATGTTGGAATTGTGGATGCTCAGTCCATCTGGGGTGACTTTCAAAGAGGCCAGTGGGTTGGTGGGACTACATCAACATGTCCTGAACGTGGACTCCCAGCTGCATCAACGGACCGACTTTTGATCATTGAATTAGAGTGGTGATGAAGTTCAAAGGAGCGCTACTGCATAAGAAAGAGGCTGTGTCAGAAAAGTCATTGGATTCGTGAAGTCGAAGTAAGGCTGCGCTATCCGATCGTCATGTCTGCTCCCCCTGCACTATTATTATGGAGGACGGGAGCAAGTGGTGTAACATCGGATATTGCTTCGCCATTGAAACTGCATTAGGCAGGTAAGACCACCTATCATCTGGTCATCCCAAGCGCGTGGGTGTAAGATTCCCGGGGTGTCTCTCAGCTCTGGCCCTGGTTACCACAACGGCACAACCCTCACATTTCATACACGAGGCGCAATCGCCCTCGTTGTAGGGCTGCGCCGCCCACACCAACTCGTAGAGCCTTGGGGGGGCGACCCGGGAGAGACATCTGTCCCCTGCCAAGCGAGTCTATTCCCGTAAGCACCAATGGCGATCGTTGTCGATGTTACGGTTCTGCCTGATTGTGGATTCCTGTGATGCTGTGCCGCTGTTAGTGCCACCTTGGTAGTGCTCACGCGCACTGGAGGCAATCTTACCTGGAGGGAGAGTTTTACATGAAGTGGAAAAGGAACAAGTGCTCGTCATCTCAAAAGTCTGTATTTTATCATCTTCTTCCTTTAGTCTCTCTCTTCAACATTGATCTATCTTCCTTCAACTTTTCCTCAATTATCCAAGTCATTTGTAGTGACTTACAGACCGTACAGCCGTGATATCCAACAATTCAGCAATTTTGTTATCTTACACCACTAACCAGACCTCAAAATCAAAGATGTCGGAACAAAAGACTGCTCCTCCCCCGGCGATCGACATTCAAGAGCCGGCGCCAGCCTATGAGAGAGAATCACCAGTGACATCTACTGTGCAAGGAAGCGGTCCTGCCCCTGCCAGAGAGATGCCAGCGAACCTAGTGCAGCTTGAGTAAGTGTCTCCTAGAGCACCGTCATCTTCTTAGAAAATACTGATAAATTGGGCAGACAACCAGCAACACCAATGCCCGCTCAACAAAAGGGCGGTCCGACCATTACCCCCCTCGCCAACCCAGCGACCGTCACGCCGTTGCACATGCTGGGCGACGAGCCGCAATGGATCGACTGCCCCTTTTGCAAACAGCGGACGCAGACGGTCATTGCAAAAGAGGGTACTGCCATGCAAATGTAAGTTAATTTTGATCATATGGGAGTATTTCATGAACCAGTTTAGCTAATACACGGACTTACTCAGGGTTGCCGGTGCTCTGTGCTGCCTCCTCTGCATCTGCCTTACATGCGTGCCCTGCATCGCGGGGTGGTGTGAGGACATGCACTACACTTGCTCAAACTGCAAGAACAAGGTCGCCACGAGGCCTTACGACGGGACGATCCAGGTCTTCTCGCCGCAGCCTGGAGGCGGTCTCGTGCCGTCGCAGTATGCGCCTGTTGCACCGCCTGTCGCGGAAAAGCAACAGACTCCGGGTGCTTGATCCAGATCTGCAAAGTGTGCAGAACTCGAACGTGGGTTGTGCTCCAGGCATCCAGCTCGATCTACAAGGTTGTGGATGTCAAACCACGGAGTCTGGAGGGGTGAGGGGAATTTGATTTGGTCTGTTGAACTTTGGTGATGGAGATGAAGAACTTACCATTTGGAATTGCCATATCGGTGATAATTATGCAACCCTGTAGATACCCTAGCTAAATAATTGCACGAAACTAAACATCCTATAGCTCAATCCGCGGAAGTAGGGGCTTCTTCCCCTTTCTGATGATGTCAAAGATCGACTTTGCCTCTTGTATTCAAACCTAAGCTCTTTCAGCTTGTAAAGCTCGTCGGTTGCTCGGTGCAACTTGTTGAAGAAGCCGACGTTCAGCAACAACTAAGGGTTGTCGTTTCGAGGAAAAGATCTGTTCATTGGTTATTGTAGAATTGCATGGGCTAAACATAATATTTTCTTGGCGATTGCCAACCGGGTGTACGTAGTAGGACATGATATTCTGATGCGGAGGTTTTTCACAGTTAAAAAGAAAAGAAATCATCAACGAACAAATTGCAGAGTTGACTGAAAGCTAAACGTCAAGCTTTGTCTGATCATGCTGTGTGCAAGCCCTCTAGCCTATCTTTAGCCACGGACTCCGAAAGTACCGGCGTTGAACCGAAGGGCTACTCCGGATGAGCATCCCGGGTAGCTCCGGTCGGCCGCATAATCGTCTGTCTTCCGGCCTTGTCCAAGGTTCATCATTTTCGACTGATCGATCACATAGACAAACCCAATCTATTTGCCGCCGTTTTAGACAACCCCAGCACGTTCTTAAGTCCGGTGCCATGGGGCGTTCGGCGCAACGACAGTATTCTTTCATAATCCCGAGAGAAGCGGACATTAACAGTGGGAACCGCCGATGGTCGCGGCCCATTGTGATGTCCAGGCCGAGCCATACGAGCTCTTTGTATATCGTTTAATTATTGAATAGTCAGATATAAAACCTCACAATTTTGCGAGAGGTTCATGTTAAGATGAGCTAAGTTACCAGCATCACCAAGAACAACAACTTACAAAAAATGTCTCGCTCAATTTACTTAGGTGCCGATGGCCAACTCACCATCAAGCAAGTCACGGATGACTATACACCTCAAAAACTTCAAGCCCTCGTCTCAATAAAGTACTCGGGCATCAACCCCTGCGACCTCAACTTCTTTCACGTAGGCCTCAACTCCTTCGTCACCGGCTTCGAGTTCGCCGGCATCGTCGAGGCAGTCGGGCCCGAATCCACCCTGCAAATCGGCGACGCCGTTCTCGGTATCTCGCCTGTCGGGTTTCCCCAAAGATCTTCGGCTTGCACACATCAAGACAAGGCCATCGTCGAAAGTGATCTTATCCTTAAGCTGCCTCCCGGCCTCGCTCTCAAAGACGCCGGGGGCCTGGCTCTCACGACGCAGACCGCCGCCGACGCCATCTTCAACATTCTCGGTTTCGCCTTCCCCGCCGCGGGCGTCACCGGGACTGATGGCACCGGCAAGCCGATACTGATTTGGGGCGGGGCCAGCAGCGTCGGCGTCGCGGCCATTCAGCTCGCAAAGGCGGCAGGATTCAATCCTATCTTCACGACTGCGTCCGTCAAGAACCACGCCGCGCTACAGCTGCTCGGGGCTACACATTGCTTCGACTATAAGAGCCCCGATGTGACTGGCGATATACGGGCTGCTGCCAAGGATATCGGCGTGAGCCTGACTACCGGCTTCGATACTGTTGGCAGCGGTCTGCATGGCCCCAACGCCGACCCTGAGACGTCTACGCCGACGCTTCTCCGTAGGAGCTTGTCTGGAGGCGTCGAGGAAAAGTCTATCAAGCTTGCGTGCACACAACCCATGCCCCATGATCCGGCTTTTGGTTTCTGCACGTGCTACCGGCCCGTTGGTAGCGTTGGTGCCATGGGTCACCCGCAAGACGCTGAATTTCCGGTTCGCTTGCGTAGGGTCATGGAACATGTTCTGGGCTCTGCCGAAAGGGCTCCGAAGCACCCCAATATTACTGTTGTCGAGGGTGGCGAAGCCGGGTTACGGGAGATCCAGAGAGTGGCCTATGGCGGTGCTTCGCTGGAGAAAGTTGTGATTGAGCACCCGATCTGAATGGGTCGAGAGATCGATGGGGGAACTTGCACACATAAATGTCCCATACACGGAACGAACTGACCGCTTTGAAAGATTCGACTTGCCCAAATAATGCTACTGACTATGTGTAATGCGTATAGCCTTAGGTTTCGCATGGGAGTGTTACATGTTATTAACTCGTCTTAGAATAGCCATGAGAACCCCTTCCGGTAAACCTTAGCAAATGCACTCTTCTTCCCCATCGCTACCTCCTTTTCCCTTCTTTCTGCCTCAAGCGCTGCTCTCTCCTCGGCAACAGTCTCTGCTGGCACGCCCGTGACCAAGTCGGCTGTCTCAGCCCGAACGCGATGGGACTTTTTGAAGATCTTGTACCCAAAAATGCAGATCAGGTAGACAGGGATCCCAATGTACTGAACGATGAAGTTCTTATAGTCGAAAGTGCCGACGAACACTTCGATACCTTTAGTCAAGGTCAGGACAATGAGGAAGCCGAGGGCGGCATAGGAGCCCCAAGAGCCCAGAGGAGCGCGATACGGGATATAGGCAGCATCGATTCGTTGGGCGGTGCGGGCGCGGCAGAAGAAGATGTGGGAGACGAGAATGGACATCCATGTAAGCAGACCTATGGTACATTACGCGTTAGTGTTGGTCTTTTCATTCAAGCATCAAGATAGACTTACCAAAGACAGTGACGACGTTCGTCAAGTAGCCAAAGACGGTTGCGGCACCGGAGCTGACAGACATGTACGCCAGACAGCAGAAGACACCACATAGACCCAAAGCCACGAAGGGCACGCCGGCCTTGGTAGTCTTGGAAAAGATACGAGGGGCTTTGCCATCGACAGCGATGCCATACAGCGTGCGAGACGAGATGTAAATGTCCGAGTTCGCAGCCGAGAAGACAAAAACTACAAGACAACCGTTGATGACGTGATCGAGCCCCTTAATCTTGGCAATGGTGATGGCCACCACAAACGGCGAGGCCGCAGCACTGGTCTTGGCCTTAGCTGCGAAGACGAGCTCGGCGCTGTTATAAGGGACAACCATGCCCAGCAGGAAGACGGAGATGATGTAGAAGAAGACGATGCGCATGAAGGTCAGGCGAACAGCCTTTGGCATGCACAGACGCGGGTTCTTGGCCTCGCCGACTGTGACGCCGACGAGTTCCGTGCCGGAGAAGGCGTATACGGCGGCCACCATGGCGCTCCAGACCCCGAGAAGACGGCCCTGGGCACCATCGACCTTGTACTCGGCGAAAGCACCCGGGTCGGACCAGTACCTGAAGCCGGGACGGTCGCCGGTGGGACCGCCGCCCACGGCGAGGATGAAGAGCAGCAGGATGACGCCAATCATGATGACCACTTTCAGAGATGAGAGCCAAAACTCGAACTCGCCAAAGGCCTTGACGCTGATACTGTTGATCAGGAGAATCAGGACCAGGGCGATGGTGATGAAGACGGCCGGGTTGACGCGGTCCCCTACCCAGAACTTCATGATCAGGGCAAAGGCAGAGAGTTGATTAGGCGTGGCGAGGAGATACTTGAAGAAGTAGCAGTAGCCCGTCGCGAAGCCGAGAGCCGGGTCGACGAAGCGTGTCGCGTAGCCGCCGAAGCCGTGGGAGAGGGGCATGTAGGAAATGATTTCGCCGAGGGCGGCCATGACGAGGAAGACGATGCAGCCGACGATGGAGTAGTCGATGAGGATGCCGGCTGGGCCTGCCTTGACTAGAGCCGAGCCTCTGTAAATTGGTGAGTTAGAACGAACGCCAGGGCGGTAACTTTTCGTACGGGGAGACAGCTTACGTTCCAATCAGCAATCCTGTTCCAAGCGCACCGCCAAGCGCAATCATCGTGACATGGCGCGTTTCGAGACGTTTGTGAAGGTCATAGCCGGGCTGGATGTATGGATCTTCGACTTGGCCGATCTTCGCACTTTGTTGATGGCACAGGTTCTCCAAGCCCGCAGGTTCCATCTTCTCTTGGTCCATCGTTGACTTGTCTGAAGTTGGACTGTTAGAGTTGGTGTGTCTACTGCTGCAAAAATGGCAACATCCAAATTTTTGGAGTGTTGTTTCTCGACAGAAACTCAAAGAGTTTACCCAAGTTGACCAGTTCCTGTGTCTATGAACCCAGAAGCACCAGGCCGGAACAGCCAGTGTTATATCAAAGTCTGATAATCGGAGCCTTCACTTGAGTCAATTGCCAGATAAGTCCTTGACACCCCAGTCTTGGTCACTATCTCGAGTCCGTGGGTCCGGGGAAGCGATTCGGGAGTGGGTCCCGAGGCGTCGAAAACGCGGGGAGAAATCCTCGGATTGTCAACCCGCAAGCTGGTATCAGATAGTCAACTGACTCGGACAAGCCCCTATCTGGAGAACTGGAATGTCGCGGAGTCTTGTTCAAGTTTAGTTGATAAGAGTCTCGCCATCTAACTTGGGCTTGTTGCAAGGTTTCTCCTGGCGCCTTCACTACCTTAGTACCTGCATATTGAGCTACGTGTTGAAGCCGGCTGTTGGCCGTCGTCGATGGGACGATTACCCCGCGGGATTAGATTGTCTCTATCTGCAGATCCGACCCTCTCTCCGAAGCGTTTCTTTCTTCAGCGAGCCTAGTTTCGTAAGCTGTCTTGATTCCTCCAGACCTGATTTCGGAAGCACACATCCGAGGGTCAGTCTTGTGTCCTATTAGTCAATCATAGCAAGCCCCCGCTAAAATCAAAATCCGGGGCAATCGCCTCGGTCCATAACCAACTCCCCGCGAGCTGATCGTCGTCGAAAGCGGCGATATTCGGCTCCCAATCGAGCAAGCCCGCTATGGACAGCATCTGTTCTGAAGCGAGCCCATTTGTTGTGCTGCCAGTAGCCGGGCCGGCTTCTGTGGGTTGCTCGGTTGATAATGAAAGGTCACCGGCGTTTATGCGCAGTGAAGACTGATTCTCAGCCTGCATACCGCTGCTGCCGTCACCTGCAACTGACGGTGGAGCATGGAGCTGACGTTGAGCGAGACACAGCATCTCTTGGAGCTTTTCGAGCTCTTCCTTCCGGCACCGGGCCACAACGTTACCGCGCGCGATCATGGTATCAAGGATATCAGTCGTAGTTTGCATATAGCGGTTATCTCGCTCGGAAAGACTTGGCATGGAGGTCATCAAAGTAAGAACGAAAGCTGATGAGAACGCCTGCTCCAAGTCAAAGGGGAGGAAAGATTCTGACTAGCACATCAGTTCATGTAAGGACCGCTCGTAGATCATATGTATGCCTACCTAGTAGGTGCTGAGACTGTAATGTTGACAGAATCCGAAGCGATTTGTTTGCCGAATCTGATGATGTCTTCAAGAGTGCTTTGATTGGGCTCGCTAGGCCTCTGTTCAAATTTCCTCGCCTTCCTAGGACATCTTGTAAGAGGCACATGAGGATTGGGCGTGTGGCAAGAACGACACACTTGAGATAGTCAGCTTCCAGACACTTAGTAAGGTTCTCGAAATTCACTTACTTGGTGATAACATAAGTTCAGCGTAGCGGAAACCCTGGACGCAGGCTCAGAGTTGTTGAACTTGAACTCGAACCCCGCCGTAAGCTGAGGTGCTAGCCTTGCCATGTCTCTTAAAACTTCCTGGACACTCTTCAGAAAGGAAGGATCGAGTTTTCCGTCTACGCCGTATACAGCTATGTCTCGGTTAGAGAGTTCCAGTCCTGTATGTGGGCTCTCTAAACTCACTATTCAACACCTTGGCAAGCAGCTGAGACAAGACAACGTGGATTCCGAGTGCCTTATACTTGTGAACAACCGGGTCTGATCTTGGCAGTTGAACGGTGATGTCGCTATCTTGTATCGAATTGGGAGCGCCCATAAGGGATGACATCTTGCGGTCTAAGATATACAGGGTCCACCAGACGCAGCGGAGTCTGTTAGCCTCGCTGTCGTTGAGTTGGTTTCTTAGTGGTTCTCGATGTAACCCTTGCGAAATGGCAATCCGAAATGCTTGACCGATCTGCTAGAATCAGCGACAAGGCTCGGCAAGTGACTAAGGCTGGCCATCAACTCACGTAGGTATAAGCACTGTTTCTGTGGTCTACCGACTGCAAGTATAGAGCAAGACCGCATAGTATCTCTACGGATAGCACAGGGTCTTGATATAGTCCATGAACATCAGGAAGCAGCTCGAGAGCCCTCGTCACCAAACCACTTCCAGGAGGGGTCTGATTTGGGTTTCCAGGGACTAAAAGAGCCTTCCCGAAAGCCATGATGATGAGGAATTGGATATACCACAATCTGGAATCTACCGTCGGTTCCAGCTTCGGTCCTGTTCTGTAGAGATCGTGAAGCCCAGTCATGAAGCTTTCCTCGTCAAAGAGATGGTATGTCTGCCCGAGGTGAAACTTGACCGTATTCGTGAGATAGAGAGCATAGTCTAGGGAGGGAATGTCAACTGTGGCTTGCGGGGTGATGCCTCTAGACGAGGGCCAGCCCAGCTTGAATGCTTCAGCATCAACATTGAGAGGAACCTCTGGAGATTCGTGTTGGCCGAGATGACCCTGGATCATGTTTAGTACCTGTCGGCTATATGCCCAAGTTGATGAAGGCCCCAGCCATCCTGTAAGCCGCTTAGATTGAAAGAAGCAACGATGACGCCAAGTAGTTACTCACTCCTTCTACCTGTTGCATCCGTGAGGAACTTTGATGGTCCGCTCGCTAATGGATTCCGCATGTTCGAGAAACCACGGCGTTCTTCCGGGCCATCCTCACCGCCGACGATAGTCGTGCCGTCGTCGAGACTGAAACTACGTGCCGGCGGCGAGGCTCCGTGGCCGACCTCTATCAACACTGGTGCTGTTGTTTCATCAACCACTACATGTAGCAATTATTATGATAAGTGAAATCCCACTAAGTAACGCGATACAAGATGAAGGCTTACCATCACGAAGGCCAGCATCAGCGGGCGACGTGGACCGATGATGTCGAGATCGTTTCGCTGTCGGTGAAGTCGATATTTCCCCTTCGACGCCATATCCCGACTTGCGTTTCAACTCGTTAAGAAACCTTCAGATAGTTAGATCTTGGGCTTCAAAGAAAAACAAAAGACACGTAAAAGCGGGTCTGGATTACCTCTCGGATACGACAACCTTCCGATCTTCTTTATCAAAGACGCACTCCACCGACTTGCGCAGGCAATTCGCACAAGGTAATGAGCCCGAACACTTCACCTTCCGTTCACGGCACCGCGTACAACTTGAATTATCATTAGAATCCGATTGACTGATACCTGCTCTCACATCCGAGGATGCCGAGCCTGGAGGTTGCTGCACTCACGCGTTGCTCGCTCGCTTGCCGCGCGGGACAGAGTTTGCCGTCTCAGCTTCTTGCTCGGCTGAGCTGCTTGGACTCTCGCCTTCGCCAGCCATCACATCGGTATTTTCAATTATTCACAAAAAGGTCTCATGGGTGCATTTGCCCTATGTTGTCTACTTTCTCTCGTTGAAGTCTTGTAATTGTCAATCTCGAGATGGAATGAGGTGCGGAGACATGTTGATTGCATCTCCAATTCCAGCCACAGTGATGATTGTGGCGCACCTTAGCGTGCTTTGAACAAGTCAGAAGCCAGTCTCCCAAAGTCAGTATCTCCGCTCAACTCAGGCTTGAGTTTACTCTGTCCTTAATTGAACGTGGCATTCTGTTTTCTTCTTAAATATCTTTTAATTTCTTTTCGGCATTGACTAATACTAGACCTTTGTCTTCTTCCTACTGCTTGATAACCCGATAGCGCGGAGCAGTAGGGCCCCTCAGCTCGGTTCACTGGGCCGAAGATTGCTCCTTGACTCGGCTTCCTGGCCCGCCTGCACTCTAGCCACAAATTACTGTAACGGGACACTCTACCGATGCCATGGCTCGGAGCAAAGTCACGGCATCAGGGTCTCTCCATTCACGAGGATGCAAATTCTAGTCACCTGTTTGCTAAAGCAAGGCAGCATAGACTACCTACCTTACTGAACATGCTTTTGACTGCACTGTAAAGGCTTGCAAGCACTGAAAACGCAGCAACAAATGACCATTTGCCGTGGCCTCTGTTTGGTATTGTTGAGTTGCGAGTAGGACGTTGCAATGGACTACCTCCTGCCTCAGAGTCGCTCTCGTTGACAGCTTGGAGTCTAAAAACAAAAGCTCTCGTCTATGTCTACGCGATATCTTCTAAAACTGAATCTCTTACCTAGGGCAAAGGATTTTGGTAAACAGGAACCTACAAATTTATAGAGCATTTGTCCTTGTTTGATTGGTGTTTTAACAGGACAAAGCACTCGATGTAACAGTAAGTATGGTGTACCGCTTACATTGTTTACGAGGCCTTCAGAGTTGGTTTCCCGCTATCCACGCGAGTGAATGCTACACATGCATCGGGGGCAGAGATCGCGTGAAGATATAAGAAGACGTAGTACCCAAAAGGGATCCAAATTACCGGTCTAACCCAGATTCATGGTGCCATTCGAAAGGTATGTACTGTCAAATTATGTGCAAGAAGTAAAGGCTATGTACAAAACTTCCCACTGAGGAGTCGTGGTGTGTCAATTAAAGAAACACGCCGAGCCTAGGGGTACGAAAATCGGATGTTCCCTGAGGCAGGCTGTTCAATGATCCCTTTCTAACAGTTGCCCGATGCAGTGAAGGAGGCCTTCTCCTTGGTACCAACTTTGTTTACGACGACCTGCTTACCGTTGGAGCAGGTGACGCGGACGCTGACTGTGTCCACAAGGAAGCCGTCACCACTGCTCTTCTGCCAGTAGTTGTAGTCCTGACGGACGGTGGGCTGCCAGCTCTTGCCGCTGTCGGTACTGACTTCGAACTTGGTGACTGGGTAGTTGTGGTTCACAACTTGCATGGAGAACCTAGGAGTTATGTAAGTCAGACTATCTGGGTCACTGCCGTGATAAAAGACACATACCAATATTTCGAAGTTCCTTCCTTGTTTCGGACGATCAAGGGTGAGGTGATGCCGCAAGGAACCTGTTCCCATGAGACGCTGATCTGTCCCTTATTGGGATCGTCGAGCTTGGCGAAAGCGTCGGGGAAGAGATCGAGTTGGCCGTTTCCGCAACCTGAGGGGCACTTATCGACGACCTAAGACCGAGTTAAAATGGCTCGTAGATGTGATCGAAAGAGATTATTGATACTCACCATAACCTTGATGGTGTTACCCTTGGGTCCCTTCACATTGAGGCAAGTACCGCAGTTTCCGTTGTAGTTGGTATAGGACAAGGCAGTACCCAGGACGCTTGATGGCAACGTGTAACCGGAAAACAGGCAGTTACCTCCGTTCAGGTTTCCACCATACCAAGTTGCAACAGCGCTCGTGGCAGCGGTGGTGCCTTGAACCATGACGGCAAGGGCCGTACCGAGAGAAATGAGACCGTGCATCTTGATGGATGGAGGGGATGATTCTGGAAGTCAAGTGAGAATGAACTGGATGGAAGGCTGGTTGGGAAGAGATCGCAGGAAAGCCAGCTCGATTTATACCAGGAAGCCCACGATGCTTGTCCCAATCACTTTAAAGCACGCAACCAAATGAAGAAGGTCTCAAGGGACGGGCTGACATACTGTCAGCCATGCGGCATCCCACAGAAGAAACAATACTCAATTCATTAATCTATTTCACCCGAATGACAAACTCTTTGGGGTATCATCCCTAAAGACTAATGGCTCTTGCAACTTATCAGAAACCCGCCACTCAGCAATAACAGCCCCCTTTCTCTGCCATGTGAGACTACACGGGGGAATTCTGCCCTCTAATTTGTCAAAGTAGCGCTAGGAGCGCGGAGCAAGCGGAAACGCGATCGGGAAACGGAGCCACAGAGGTTCACAATGGGCCTGTTCTGCCTCCTACTCTATACTAGCAGCGGACTGTGCTTCGTCGGCTCCCCGGCTTCCTGCATTAATTTATAGGTGTCATCCTGTCAAGGGGGCTTGTATCCGCGTCGTACGGTTTGTTGCCGACTTTGGGTTTATCCCTTGGTGGAGGAGCGTGCCAATTGGGAGCTTTAAAGTTCAACGTTTCACTAAATAGTCAATGCTAACCCAAAGGGATGGTTACTGGCCGCGAGTCTGGACCGGAGTGGATAGTGGACATGAGTCGCGATATTGCGGGCGGTGCCGTATTTCAGATTGCACGGCCTGTTCGTGAGCAGAATTCCACTTCGGATCCCACGTGGACGGATCGCGTTGTGGGAATCTATTGTGAAAAGAGACAGGGCTGCTTCAAATGCCATGTCTTCGGGTCTAGCCTATTTCTTCTTCTCCATGCCGGTATTCCGTGCAGGTGGTTGATGGCCCTGTCAGGCTGTCATCGGTCAAGCCGGTGTTCGCTTGTAATTGGTAAAAGCGATGTCCTAGTGATGATCACATTTCTTTTGTACATCCCTTCGATTATCTTGCCGCACAACAAGTTGCTTGGCTATTGCCGAGTTGCTCAGATAGATTACAGACGGCCGTTCTGGCGAATGGCATTGACGCATAGACTTTTGTTTGCATTCTTTCGAAACAAAACGTCCTGTTGTTTGTCTCTCGAGATTCAATCTAGGCCATCACATAAGACTACTAATTTGTACATATTGTCATTTGCAACCATGACAAATTGACATTTAAATCGCCAGTAACATCCTTTAGTCAGACCATACCCTCGCTATTGACGAGCCTTTTCGAACGCATCCGAACTCTTCTAGTGAAAAGACTGTTTCCTCTGCACGTGAGCCGTCAGAGACCTAAGCTGATGAATGCCAGGGTGCGCTGGCCCGTCAGAAGTCCGCCATCGCCCCGCTTAGACTGAACAAGGCAGTTTGGAGCATACACCACATCTCACACGACAAGGTAGGTAACGATGCATCTTCGGTCAAGTTGTAGTCACATCCAATTAGCACTCGCCCAACAGCCTCTCACCCACGGGTTACGAAAATGTACCTGGAAGATCGGAATCACTGAATCAGCACCATGGTCCAGCCCCAACGATCTGGCCGAACCGGTGCTTGAAAAACGACCACTCACCAATGTAGGACTGATAGCCGAGGATATGACTCGAGATTCAAGCTGAACGAGAACGCTTTCGTATTCTCGCATATAACACGCTAACTGAAGATGGCATTCGGCGAGCGGGTCTTGAAGTTAGACCATGTGTGTCGCCGCATGCGTCCGATGTTCACCGGTGAGGAAGGGTCCACACCACGAACTTCTCAAGCCGCAGACGGAATGTCTCAACATCCGCCCTGCCTGAATTACTTCCGGATTCTTCAACATCGTCTGCTCACCGGAAGTCGCATCATTTAAACGCCCCAAATCATTTCTGTTCCGACTGCCTGTGACGTTTTCATACTTTGGTTCGTCTCATGTTTTCTTCGTATCATGTGTCGGTGGTGGATGGCAAGCGCGTCAAAATGTATATCTAAGTCTCTCCATGCGTGACTTATCGTCAGACATGGGCATGTATTAACCTAGTCAAAAACTGTCCGGTGATTCTCACACAACCATGGTCACCACACAATCAAAACCCGAGTCTTCTGGTCTGGACATGTCGAAGTACATCACTCCGTGGAAGCTTGATCCGCAGCAACCATACCTCCTGAAAAATTGCAGAATTGTTGACCCTGTTCATGGATCGATCAGCAGCAATGCCACTATCGCCCTGTCCGCCGGCAAGATTATTTCCGTTGAAGCAGGCGAGCCAGCAAAGTCGGATAGTCTTGAGATCAAGACAGAGAACATTATCGATCTTGAGGGAAAATATGTCTGCCCCGGTCTGATCGACTGCCATGTCCACATCGCAGTTACACCAGGCGCAGCCAGTCTGGCGTCGTACCGAGATATGACTGAAACCAAAAGCCTTCTGCGGCAGCCTAGTGTTCTGAAGTCAATGCTCCAGCGCGGGTTCACTACTGTCAGAGACTGCGGTGGTGCAACTCTCGCCATGAAAGAGGCCGTTGAAGAGGGCATCTATCCCGGTCCGCGCCTCTTCATCTCTGGAAAGGCTCTGTCCCAGACTGGCGGCCACGGCGACATGAGAGGGCGACACGACACCATCCCTTGCTGCGGCGGCGCTGTTTCGGGCATCAGTCGAATCGTAGATGGGGTGCCGGAATGCTACCGTGTTGCTAGAGACGAGCTGCGCCAAGGTGCAGACTTCATCAAGATCATGGGCGGTGGTGGCGTTGCCAGTCCAACTGACCGCATCGATCAGCTTCAGTTCTCTGACGACGAAATCAAGGCTATAGTCACCGTCGCAAATAACGCAAAGACATATGTCACGAGTCACTGCTATACCACAGAGGCAGTGACACAGGCCATCAACCAGGGCGTCAGGGGTATTGAGCACGGCAACCTGATCGATCTCGAAACTGCAAAATTGATGGCGGATACGGGGACCTTTCTCACGCCGACGCTTGTCACTCACTTCGTATCAAAGGAGTCACATTTCCTAGATGCTGAGTCAGAGGCCAAAGTCACCACTGTACTTGAACAGGGCTTAGTTACACTCAAGATGGCAACTGAGGTCGGTGTCACAGTATGTTTCGGAACAGATCTGCTGGGTCCAACTCACTTCGCTCAGTCGAAAGAGTTCTCTATTCGCAGTCAAGTCCAGACATCTCTTCAGATTCTGCAAAGCGCCACTATCAATGCCGCCAAGCTGCTTGGCCAAGAAAACAAGCTTGGCCAGGTCAAGGAAGGATTCATGGCAGATTTATTGATTCTAGATCGTAACCCTCTGGATGATATCACAATCCTGGACAAGTCTCAGGAGTCTATATTGGCTGTTGTGAAGGATGGCAGGGTCATGCATTCGCATCTGAGCTATATGAAAGAAGAGCCGAGAGTCTGAGGGCCCGGGGTCAATTGACCTCAAGTATAGAATCATTTAATTAGCATCAATAGAGATCCAAAGAATTTCTTGCATCTTACCTTAACAGCAATTCTTCCTGGGCGCGTTTGTCTCGCTCTTACCGGTGACCAAGTTTGATCAAAATCTATTCCAAACCATTCGTATTGACTTGATATCCTACCGTATTTACAGCTTTTCGAAAGAATCGAACTCTATTCGACAAATTTCTTCGTGTAAAATGACTTCGGCTTTATGGTGGTGTTCCAAAGGGCGTACTCAAGAAACCGAGTAGCCGGCCGCGATTTCGGCTTTTGAGCCCCATCTCTACGTCACCTGAGTTTTTTCCCCCCCGGATTGTTAATAGAAAACACGATTTGTAATGTATCATGGCTGATAAATCACATCCAGAATCTCAGGGACATGATCTCCAATAAGAAAGGCATCAATCCATTGAAGAATCCCAGCCTGCCTGGAGATACATCCAAAGCTCTTTGCTGCCAATTTTGACTAGGAACTTCTTCTTTTGATTACGCTTCCTTGGTCATGTCGACCACAGTAACAACCACTCAACCCCATGCAATGGAACTTGGCTCGGCTCCAATAGACGATGGCATGGAGACGGAAACTCGAGTATCAGCTATCACCCGTCGACTAGAAGCCTCTGCCATCCCTCGAGAGTTCGCCTCCTTCGCGGAAGAAATCGGGTTCGTCTGCATATGCTCTATGGGCCAGCTGCTGTTTGCAATACATCTTTCGCATATCTTTGTCAATCAAATCACTTTAATCGACGCTCTGAAAACGACTTCGCTCAATACACCATGGCTTATCGGTTCATATCTCGTCGCTAACGGAGTTTCCGTTGTGATCTCGGGCTCCTTGGCAGATCTTATTAGTCCGAAACATCTCACCTGTGCGGCCTTCATCTGGCTTACTCTTTGGAATCTTATCGGTGCGTTCTCTGTCATACCTAAGAAAATAATACTATTCTTCGTCGCTCGAGCAATGTCTGGCTTGGCCGTTGGAACCCTTTGCTCCGCGGCAATGAGCATGCTCGGGAGGGTTTACAATCCCGGTCTACGGAAGAACCGAGTATTTTCTTTGATGGGTGCCATGATTCCCCTCGGGTTTGCCATCGGGTTCATACAGGGCGGTGCGTTAAGTACACATTTGCCTTGGATATTCGGGTCAACATCCATCTTGTCTCTGGCATGCCTCGTCGCCGCTATCTGGTGTATTCCTTCTCTCCCCAATGAATCATTGTCTTTGAAGGACTTTGACTACATTGGAGCTGCAGCAGCAATTCTTGGATGCGGATTGCTCATCTTTGGTCTCACTCAAGGATCGCCTGCGCAGTGGACTCCATACACTTACACCCTTGTCATCATCGGAGTTGCCTGTTTAGCCAGCTTCGGTCTCATTGAGAGCCGCGTACGGCGGCCGCTGATCGACAATCGCCTTTGGAAGACTCCTGGATTCTTTCCTTTGATCTCGTCCTATTTCCTAGGATACGGTGCTTATGCCGGAGCCTGGCAATTCTATGCGGTGCGCTTTCTGCTTACCATCCAGCAAAAGCCACCCATCATTGTCGCATGTTATCTTCTCCCTATCGGTGTAAGCGGAACCCTTGCGTCGTGGATTGTATCCAAGACGCTTCATATAATACCGGGACACGTTATCATGATGGGAAGTATGCTTGCATTTGCCACAGGCCCTGCTTTCTTCTTACCTCAACAAGCGGGTACACTTTATTGGGCGCTCTCATTTCCCTGCTTCATCGTAAGCACATTTGGGCCGGATATGTCGTTCGCAGCTGTCTCCGTGTTCATCACGTCGAACGTGCCCAGATCGTACCAAGGTGCTGCAGGAAGCTTGGTCATCACTGCGCAAAATCTGTCCACCGCTGTACTCGCGGCATTGGGAGACACTATTGGGGAAAAGATCACAGGGCAGCCGGGGGGTTCCCTAGACTTAATGGCCCTGCGTTCCATCTGGTGGCTGAGCCTGGCGACCGCTCTGACAGGCGCTTTGATATGTGGTTTCTTCGTCAGAATACCAAGGAGTGAAGAGAAGGAGCATATCAGCTGAATGTATGCACAGGAATATGAAGGATTCTTGGGTATTACTGGTCATAAAACATTTATTATGTCCATCAACACCTCGATGGTGTATTTCAATTGATATAGCCTCATGCTCGTTACCTAACCACGCTTATTCAAATGCTGGCCTACCTTCTGGTGGCACTGGGGTATCATCAAGCTGTCTTCTAAATCTCTGCATCTCCAGGATTCTACACCGTCTCGCTGGACTTCTGTGATTGCGTAGTGGTTGAGCAAGCCGCAACATGCTCAAGGTCGACATTGAGGTCGTACGCTGGCTCGCTGACGACATCAAATCTGCTCATGCGTGTTATTTGCAGCGTCTTGACGGTTGATTTGTAGTTGTAAGCGTTAGACTTGTCCGAATAGCCAGCGTTTCGGTTCGATCGGAAGTATGGTCTTAGGCATGGTAATGTCGCGACTAAAAGACCAATATTGACGTCTAGCTCGCTCCAAAGTTCTGCGACTCAGCCGTCAGCACACGTATCAAAGAGCCTATAGAGACATGCAGCATGTTCAAATACTCACCAACCAAACCGAAAGGCAAGGCCTCGACCGATGCTGTCTGAATCGTAATGAAGCGAACGAGAGAGAAGGTCATGTTGATGATGCCGAGACCAAAGGTACAATAAACGCCGATTTTGAGGGCTCTCTTGATCTTCAAATCAGGTAAGATGAGCCAAGGAAGGCAGAAAACTTTGTAGAAAGTCAGGAAATCTTTGAGCTGAAATACCAGGGTCTCTGTTTACTTACTCAGAATATCCCCGAAGAAATGCAATGCCCAACCGACTTGGAACACAATTGCGGGAGACGAAGCCGAGCACATAACATTTTCTGTTCCTACGACCCGATCTTCGACAGACCTGGCCGAGAGCTGAAGTCAGTTTCAATGCCTGAAAACGGGATTTCTCTCTGTCGGATTGACTGACCAGTTCTTACTAAGGGGCAGGCAAATAGTGAAAAGCAAAATCATGCTGACCAAGTACGCCAGCCCAACGTATATTATAGCAGTCCATAACATCATTCGTCGATAGTACATAAAAATGGGGAATATCTGAATGTAGACGGCGAGAAGGGCTCCTTTGCAGAGGTAAAATGTTGTGAAGAATGGTATGCTGCTGGCCCAAAACAACTTTCAGGCACGGAGTGTCAGTACAACTGAATTGATCATGAAGAAGGTGTTCTTTCTTACCCTCATAATTAGCATAACTTCGTCGTCGTTTCCGTCGAATCCATCGAGATTGATTTTGATATTTTGATGCAAAGCGCCCATGACTGTGAACTGTATATCGAATGAGGCAGTTACAACTGCAGAGCACCATGCTAGGCATAGGAAGTAATCGCTAATTTGTAATTTCCTCCCTTGGATATTGATTCGGAGATGAAGGGAAGCAGCTAGTACTGCGCCGGCGGTCAAGATGGTGACCCATCCCGTCGTCTACGTTCGTGCCAGAAAGGTCAGCGATCATGTTCCGATTTCCAAGGCCCCGACATTCATAATCTGAGATCTGACATACAATGATTGTTACCGCCTTTGGGGTCGGAAAGTGAGCCATTATCCATCGTCACATCTTCACGCACGTTGTTGAACCCCGTCAAGAAAGTGGGCGTCTGGAATTATAAAAGAGGATGGAAAAAGAGCTGAATTCCTGCGTGGGCTAGTTGAGACAGACTGACTCCTAGCGTAAGATGAGAACCATACTAGCCCTGGTTCCGTTATCCGATTTCGAACTAAACATACGTACGATACCGAATTCATCGTCCGGATTCGGAAGTGCTCCAACTTTATCCTTGAAAGTCGCGCCCATCGGCCGACCCTAGATCCTCTTGCACATGCGTGAAAGCGCTGCAAGAACACAAGTACAGCAAGGCAGGCGTCCTCCAAAGGGATGCATAACGATGTGGACATGGCTTGCATGAACTCATTGTGAAGATAATGCCGGTGCCAACTATTATAGAGAGAACATCAATTGAATCGAGGTGGACCATTCAAGCGGGTTCTGCATATTCATTGCATCAGGGGTCTGAGATGAGTGTCTTGGTCGGCTGACTTGCTGTTTCCCCTGCAACGTGGAGTATTGTCTTGGATGCAAAAGATCACCCGTGTCACCGCCTGCTTCAAGATCTGACACCCCGCTCGCCGAATTCATTCTTAGATTCAAAGAGCGCCGGTAAAGTATATCATCGGATGCCTCTCATTTGCGGCCCTTCCTCGATCGGGATCGAGTTCGGGAAGCCGAAAAGACAACGGCCCGCGGAATTCTTCAAATAAAACACAAGATGCGTTGAGCCCTTACGAGCCTTAGTTTGGTGCCACTGTGAGCCTATCTACAGGTAGTAAAGGGTTCAAAACAGCCAAACTCCGCGCATACGTTTCGCGCACTCCGTTTCGTCCGTACCCGTGCAGCTGATTTGACGGGCCGGAACGGTGCCCATGGAACCAGTCTGTGCGATCCGCGCCACATCGCAGCACATAGTTACGTAGACTAAGCCGCTCTATCCTGATCACTCACGCTACCATTTGGCTGCAGTCCTAATCTATGTAGACTAGCCGCGCCGAGACCAATGTGGTGAACTAGACCCGGGGCAGCACGTGGAATAATCAGGTTGTTTATAGGCTTCGGCCTTTCGAAACGGGAACTAGCTCCTGGGAGAACCCGAAGAGTGGCCCACTCGCTGCGTAGCCGTTCTAGACCAGCACTTTCCGATGTTTTGATGAGTACGGACGTATGATCTTCCCCCATCAGATAGCAATCATTGGGCAAGAGACCTAAAGGTACGTTTCAAGAGCACGCCATTATACAGTCAACACAGTATTCTATACGGATTCTTTCGCTTTGACGACACGCTGATCGATTTGAATCCAACAATGACCCTTTTAGATGTATTTTGAACATTTCCGTCGAGTGAATTGGAGACTTCACGGAGAGAAACGCGTGGAAATATTTAGCATGATGAGATGAATCTACTTAGGTAGATACCTTACTCAATGATCTTCGCGGCTCGCCAGAGACATATAGGTCAGAAGTCAAATCACCTTCACCCATCCCGAGGTTGGATTTTGAGAGCTGATGTTGACTGACTCTAATATTCATCCATAATTTTCCATGTATCAAATCTCGGTACCTAGTGAACAAGCTGCTTCTGAAGGGACCCCGGTGTCCGGGCCGCATGTTCACTCGGGGCCTCCGCCGGGACGGCCCCACTTCGCCGCGTTTCCGAAACCATCGAATCCGGGCATGGGTGAGACAAGGCGAGTAAGGGTGGCGGAAATCGAAGACACAGGAAACGTTTCTGTACGAATCATCTAACGTAAGCTCGGTTTGCCCGCACCACTTTGTGCTCGTCTTTGACGAAAACGGCCTGCCGCGATCCGACAATTCGAACTTACGATTGGCCCTTCCCCCACGCCCTTCCGGCACCCGGTAACAGTTGCTCATCTAGCCATCGATCCTTTACTATACCTAGACAATATGATGTGTCTCTCTTTCTTCCGGCGCAGAGCAACCATGGGGGTTTTCAGACTCCTGTTCCAAAACGGTACCTAGCCTCGGCGACCTCGGCGAGGTGTGGCGCATCTTCGCCGGTCGAAACTGACTGGCTAGGAAACAAACACTGTTCAAGAAAGAAGACATAAGATGACGTGCTCTGGTCATAGAAGAAATGGAAAGATCATTGGAGTAGTCATTTATTAACATCACGTAATGCTAAACTATTTGGTTAGGTAAGCCGATGAGATTATAATTCTTGCTCTTCCTGCCATCCTACCGCAGTATTTACCACAAAGTCTTAGTTCATAAGTTCAACCAAGGGCTCCAGCTTGCGCCCAAAAAGGATCTATCGTTCAATTTTGCCATGACCAATTGGTCTTCTAGACGGCTCTCCATCGGCTCGAAGCCGATACATCGCGAACCGGACCTTGTTCCTCGTAAGTAACGCTCACGAAGTCGGTCCGAATAATCTTTCCGTCAGAAGGACGCTGACTTGAGTCACTTTGTCTGGATGTGAGAGTTGGGGCATTTAAAGAAGCCGATATGCCCTGGTTTGAGTCGGTTGCTGGCGTAAGGATATTCTCCTGGCTGTCGCCCTCGACAATGGTGAGACCAAGTTCATCTTTGGGTTTGATTTTTGGCTTGCGCTGTCCCAGCTCAATACCTCCTCCTCCTCCCCGAGATTTTGACTTGCTCTGAGAGCCGTAGTCCTCATAATATTGCGGCGTTTGTTTGGATCCCTTAGCCGAGCTGAAGGGGTTGCGTCGAAGAATGAGCTCAAGAAGCGGCTGCATGACAGGTATTGAGCTTGCGATAATGATAGTGCTGCCCTCGACACTACCGGAATCCAAATTCAGTAAGGTGTTTCTTCCCGTGAGCCTCCTGAAGCGGATTTTACGTTGTAAAGAAGGGGCTAGACTTACACTGTCCAGATCACCAGATCAGAGGTATCGTCTATGCGGAAAAGATCAGTAAGATCTATTAACTTATTCAACAGGAAATGCGGGGCCCCACATGAGAAATCCTTGCTCGCAAGGGACGGGATGCGAGTCGTCTTGTAAATAGCAACGATACCAGATCTTCAAGTTATTAGTTGTATGAATCATGTGTTGAAGCTGCAAACTGGCCGAAAGAAAGAAGAGTCTTACATTGACCCGATGCCTAGCGCACAAGAAAGCGCAATTTTCTTTTTTGTGGCCATCTGAAGGCGGAATAGTACAATTGCCGGGTAAACAGCGAGGTATACATCGACAAAGGCCGAAAAAGCTGTGTCGTAGAACAGTATTAGCAAAACTCAAGAACCTTTCTAAGTACTTATGGAAAAGGGTTGCCTCACATCCCGCATAAATGCAATAGGCCACCAGAATATTGACATCAAAGCAGGTGCCCTTGACAGAAAAGTCCCACAAGGACCTGGCCGGCATGCAACGTCCAAGTAGGAGACCAGCCGTCACGAACAGCGTCAACTGGCACCAAATCCCCAGCCACCATAAAAACCACTTATGATATCTGTCAGGGTTCATCAGTCGAACCAACAAGGAGACAACAGCTAGTTTGGGGAGACCGAAGGACATGATACCAGGGCAGAAAGCTGCCGTAGTCCAGAGAATGGCTCCCTGCTGCTGCTCGGTCGATAATAGGGACATGTGCCTTCCGTTTCCGTAGGTGACTGCGATCGTAGACAAAGCCGTTGATATGTAACCGCAGAACTGGGAAAATTCTTAAATTAGACTGAGTTGCTGACGCGAAAGAGGCAAGCGAAGAGAGTGTAATTCGTGACAGGAACTTCACAGACAACCATAGACACGTACCAATCCTAATATGATGAACCAATCATCGCTCTGGAACTTCTTCATTATCTTCCCCCTCACGTAGACACGACCGAAGACGAAGCAAGTGCTGATGGCCGTGACAATCCAGCAGACGATAACGATGATTGGCCCTTTGTCCTGGGCCTTCCACTCATCTGATCCCTCCGCTGGCGAAGCCGACATATTGGATTTGTAGTAAGCAACGAATGGGAATATATCGATCACGAGAAATGTGACACAGGAAACAAGAGCTGATCTAGGCGCAACCAAGACTCTGTTGAATAAATGCAAAGCAGACTGCGGCATAATGCCTTGCAGAGCGATTCTTCAGCGTCGACCAAGAAATTGGCCGAAGACGTGCAGATCTTGCGCAACCTGGGATTCTTACCAGGTATTGGGGTGCTCGGGGTGATCAGGTGTCGTGTCGTTAGGTAGCTGGAGACGGAGCAATCTCCTATTCGACCTTTCCTTCGGAAGAAAAGAAAAAGCCAGCTTGCAACTCAAGGGTCTTGCTCAAAGTTTCATGTAGCATTGCCGGTTTTGCAATCATTCCATATCTCGCCCCTGAAGATCTGGATTCCATTGACAAAAAGAGCATCGGCTGAGGGGTAAAACTGCGAGACCATGGGCACATAAAGTCCAAGGATGTATCAAACCCTGCACCAACAAGCAAACATGTCAGGGGATATACGGCGTACGTGCAGAACGAAGAATCAACTTGGAAATCTTGAGTCGCTTGGGTACTTGTGAATACGGCGTGATATGTTCGACGTGAGCCGCGGCGCGCGGCCCGCAGCTCATTGACCCTTTTGGAAAGGAGATCGCAGTTCTCATCACGTTGGAAGTAGTCGTCTTGGCGGCTCCTTTAGTTCAGGTGGAACTTTAAAATCGGCGGATGCAGGAGCAACATGGGGTGTTTGATGGCGTGGAACGGCTCCCGTTATGTAAAGACCCTGGTTGAGCACCAACAGCCAAGTGTCAAGAATCACACCTCGTCGAATGGAGGACAAAAGCACTCGCCGCTAATGTATCTTCGGCCCTCGATTTATCTCAACCATACCGCCACGATAATAGATGATAGCAATAATGTGTTGAGACAAAACCCAGACCAAAAGAGCTATGCAGTAGCGCTTGTAGTGATAGAAAAATCTCTTAGGGGACATTCAACGGGATTCGCTTTCTTGAGAGACTGTGACGGGGACCTAGAGTTCTTTCATGCTTCAAAGGCAGATGTGGGCCGAGATATGATGAACGGATGAAGCAAACGGCCGTTGGACGGGGCGATCAGCATGGACTTGACGAAATTGGCTTTCTATTCGCATAGATACTAGGGTGTTGGTCTTCTGTATGGTTGGCTTCCAACGAATTTCATGTTGGCGCAAACCAACAAACATTTGCCCAGAGCATACCTAGTCCGGAAGACTCCTCCCGTTGGGCCCGGCGACCCGGGGCCCCGGTCCTCCCAGGCCAGGGTACTTTGTGAGCGGTTCGGCCTCTTGCGAGTTTCCGGTGTAAGACTTCTTCAGCATACGTATCAGTGACAAGGAGTTTGGCGAGCACGCAGGAGTGAAACCTCGTCTGGCTGCGCAAAGTGGCTCGAATGCGAACGGCACGGTTGGTGGAGGATTCGAGCAATCGAGACTCGACAGGTGTTTTCTGAGTCCTGCAGTTTGACGGATAGGCGCCCTTTCCTCCACCTCTCTTTCCTACTGATGTCCTTGAGGATTCTATCTCTTATCGTAAGTGTGCGTAGTTGTCGGACAGAAGGTTGCAGGATGTGGGGGATGTCTGCGCGTCGTCTCCCCTGACTTCTGCCAAGATCCGATTCCGCTGAAATGACTGAGGCAGATATAAAGCACACGTCTTGCAAACTCTATGCCTAGCTACCCCCGAGTTCTCACTCATCTGTCATTCAATTCACTGTGATACATCACTCAAATTTATAATGTCTTCCACAAACGGCTCGAACGGCACCAAAGGAGCCTCCTTTGTTGATGCAGCAATCGCCACTCGTCCGAACGACTTGGAAGCGGTTCCTCGTCTGCTCAAGGATCTCAACGAAAACATTGGCTCTTTGTCTGCTGATGACCACCATGCGCGTCACGAGCTGCTCCTTAAGGCTCGGTCTATAGTACAAGCTCTCGAGGCTCCAAGAGAGACCATGATCAAGCACTGCTGGGCACAGGTAAGCCCCAGGTGGTCAGCTGATATACATGTTACTTGATATGACTGACTTTCATCTAAGACCGGTGCAATTGCTGGTATCAACTTTGGCGTAGATACGGGTCTGTGGAAGCTCATGGCCAAGAACGGCGACAGGCCACAGACGGTGAAGGAGCTTGCTGAAGCTCTCGGCGTCGACCCGGCCCTGCTCAGTTAGTGAGCTCCCTTCTTATACTACTCACATGGCTCATAATTTCTACAGGCCGCCTCATGCGCCATCTTGGTGCCATGGGCTATATCAAGGAGACGAGCCTTGATGAGTACCAACCTACCAACTTCTCAAAGTCATTGAGCCTCCCCATGATTGGAGATGGGTATATCGCGATGTAAGTCGAACTATTTAGCTCGCTATTGGGCTCCCTGCCTTCGCATACTTAGTTGCTCTATTGCATTTTATCAATGCTTTTGCTAACTTCTTGGAAACCCAAGGACATCTTGCACTGGCGCTGGGCCCTTGAGATTCCACGAGTACTCTCGCAAGAGGGGCTTCAAGAACCCCACTGATGCCAAGGACACACCTATGATGTACGCATACAACACTGACAAGGATATGTTTGCGTGGCAGCAGGACCTTGGATGTAAGTACAATTACCAACATACTTTGGTGACAGATGGGCACTAACATGCAATCTACATAGACGGTACTCACTTCAACCACCACATGTCCGGCTACCGCCAGGGTCGTAATCCTTGGATGGCCCCCGGCTTTTTCCCCGTGAAGGAGAGGCTTATCGAGGGCGCTAGCACGGACGCCGACGCGCCCTTCTTGGTGGACATTGGCGGCAGCATCGGTCACGACTTGGCTGAGTTCCACTCGTACTTCCCTGAGGCGCCAGGCAAGCTGATCCTGCAGGATCTTCCAGTCGTTATTGGCCAGATCCAAGAGCTCACGCCAGCAATCACGCCAATGGGCCATGACTTTCTGACAGAGCAGCCCGTGAAGGGAGCTCGCGCCTACTACATGCACTCATGTCTGCATGACTGGCCGGATAACGTCTGTGAGACTATCCTGAAGCAGATCAAGGCTGCTATGAAGCCTGGGTACAGCAAGTTGTTGATCAATGAGAATGTCATTCCCTCAACAGGAGCATGGTGGGAGACGTCGGCTCTTGACATGGTCATGCTAACGCTTTTTTGCTCAAAGGAGCGTACTGAGGGTGACTGGTACCACTTGTTGGAGATCATCGCAGGACTGAAGATTGTCAAGATTTGGGGTGGTGGCAAAGGTGTTGAGAGTCTGATCGAGGTTGAGCTTCCCTAAACCTCCTAGTTTTTCTACCTATTGTACTTGTACGTTGTGGTTGTCATTCATATTGATAAAGACGAAGTACAGAATCGTGCATCAAGTGCTAGAGTCACCTATTCTTTAGAACCATTTCGAACCTTTGGCAGACTCAGAGCTTCCCATTCACATTTGTCCTAGTGACCTTGTCAATGGCCTGTGCTGCGCGCTTCACATTCTCCTCGCTCAAGCCAGCAAGATTGATCCTTCCGGACCCTGGGAGATGAACATGATACGCCTCAACTAGCTCCCTGCACTGAGATGGTGACAGCGCCAGGCACCTATACACAAGATTAGCGATGTAACCATCCACCGTTAAGAACACAGCACTACTGACGAGAACAGCCCCTTTTCCTTCACCAGATATGACCAATTTCCGGGTGTCTACTTGAAGTCAATCCTGGCACGTATATCTGCTTTCGGAGCAAAGTACCTTGAGACGTATCGCAAGCTCATCATACAGAGCTTGGCGGTTTCTCTTCAGACGTTTCCTCATGCCATCGGTCTCTGAAGTCCTAAAGCATGTTGTTAGCGGATGAAAAATAGGGACTTCTCGAACACCGACTTACCACTCTTTTCGCAAGTCGGCATCGTTGAGTACGATCTTGACAAGACGGCTACCGTAGGCCGGAGCTGATGAGTACGTGTGCCTGATCAAACTTCGAAGCCTATCTTGAACATTTGCAGCTACCTCCTGCGAGTTGCCAACAAAATGAAGGGCGCCACAACGCTCCCCATACAATGCAAAGTTCTTTGAGAATGACTGGCAAACCATCATCTCAATCCCCGCATCTACGAAAACGCGTACACTCGCGGCATCTTCGTCAAGCCCGTCACCCAGGCCTTGATACGCTACATCAAAGAACGGCAAGTGCCCGTAATGTTTCATCTCACAAGCTAACTCCTTCCATTGTTTTAGGCTTAGATCGACTCCTGTAGGATTATGGCAGCAACCTTGCAATACGAAAATGCTGCCTCGCGCAGCCGATCGTACAGTATCGAGGAGAGCGGTAAAGTTGACAGCATGTTTTGACGCTTCGAGATAGGAGTAAGTGGTGGTTTTCAGACCGGTATCTTGGAAAATCGGAATGTGGTTTCCCCATGTGGGAACTCCGATGTAGACTCTGGGTTTCGGTTCCATAACTTTTGAAATGAAGAGGGCTCCCAGAGAGTTGGCCCCTGTCCCGGAGATGGTCTGAACTGAAGAAATCTGGGTGTTGAAGTTAGTGTATTTAACCTGAGAAGTGATTTGAATCTATTCGGATATCATTTGATCTCAGAAGACTACGAAGCCAACCACATACTCTGCCTGTTTGAAGGGCATCGCTGTGCGCGCCAAACATGACTTCGGCGGCAAGTCGGAGAAAATCCGCATTTCCTATCGTCAACTCATACTAGACAAAGATCTCAGCCTACTAACTTTCCAAAACGTTGGGTTTTAGACTCCTACATCATGCCCTAGGTCCAGCTCATCTAGTTCTAATTTGGCCTACATTTTGATCAGTTCTGACTCCAATCGAAGCTTGCCCTTTCTTGTCTCTAGTACTGGGGCAGAAACTTTTGACGATACCTTTTTGACAACCTCCAGCTCTTGGTAACTACCCTCTTCGTTACGATAGATACCAACACCCAAGTCGACCTTTTCTGGGCTTGTGTCGTTGTCTGCATCCCTTTTGAGGGTGAACATGGGGTCCGGAGGACCGGGCTGTACGTGTCCAAACATCGTGGCAAAGCTGGAATGCCAAAGCTGGAATGAAGAAACGTTGAAGGCTTTTGCAAGTAAGCCTTCGAGCTTTCTTGTAATTTTTTGAATTACCACTCAAATATTAGCGAGCAAATGGCGACTCAAATTCCCCGGCTAACTAGCATCCATCGCCGAGTTGGCGGCGGTGCGGGCTACCGAGTCTCCACTTGACACTTGCACGCTATTATCGGGAAGGCTGGCCGAATCGCTCAGATTGGCGGGAAGAGGAGCCGAACCATCAACAAGTAAGCTGACACTATCCTCGGCCCAAGGAAGCAATGAATACTAAATAATATCTTCATGATACCTCATGATGAAGTACTGCACGTTGACAATTCAGTAATCTTTTCGTTCATCTAAAATGGCCTCTCTCCTTTCCAACAGCTTGACTCGCCTAAGCGCGTCGGGAAAGCTATGCACGGTATGCTTCAGAAGAGAGCCATAGTGTTACTCCTCCTACTGACATAACGATATAGGCAATGGGCATTCGCCTTGTGGCAAATACACAAATTGTCCATTTGGCGGCAAACGGAGGGTTTGATGCTCTTTTCATTGACCTCGAACATTCGACATTATCCATTCATGATGCCAGTCAGCACTGTATCGTTGGTCTTCAGTTGGGTATGACGCCCTTTGTCAGAGTACCTTATCAGTGCGGCAATGGCTTTGTTCAAAAGGTTCTCGATGGAGGAGCCATGGGAGTTGTATTTCCTCACATTCACGGCCGCGGTAAGTACCACAAGAGATTCCTACCTGGATTTCCGCGTCCAATCGGTTGGCAAGAGAAACTTACAAAGTCCTTGCAGTTGATGCCATGGCTGCTGTCTCGATCTGCAAATATCCGCCGCAAGGAAAGAGGTCCATCACTGGCCAACTGCCCGTATTCTCGTTAAAGGCTGTGCCACAGAGCACCATAATCTCAGAGACGAACGCCAACGGCTCAACTGTATTCCTGATGATCGAGACGAAGGAGAGTATTGAGAACATCGACGAGATCGCTTCTGTTGAAGGCGCCGACGTTCTCCTCGTCGGGTCGAATGACCTCGCTATCGAGTTAGGCGCGCCGAGCCAATTCAAGAGTCCAGTTTTCCGGGAAGCTATGGAGATCGTGAGCCGAGCATGCAAAAAACACGGCAAGATCATGGGCTTGGCTGGTATCTACAACAACCATGAGCTGCATGACTGGGCGATTAATGAACTAGGCGTCCGCTTTCTCCTTGGAGGACAAGACTCTGCGATACTAGCCCGGGGAGCTGCAGAAACAATGGCGGAGATCGCGAAAGTGCAGAAGTAATCTCCAAATATTCAAATGATCAAGGCCTAACATCGTCAAAAACCAATTTCCAGTCATCTGAGACACATTGCAACTTTATCCTATGCACGAAATCCTCGGGTCTGTTGTTGGTGTTCATGATCTTGGATCTGGGCTATTCTGCTCACGTGCAGCGGTTATGTCTCAGGACTTGCGTGGTGAGCGCCACCATTACATCATCACCGTTGAACGATTCTTGAACACAACCATTTCCCCGGACGCCTCGGAATAACCATATTCACTCTACCTCTTAGATATTGTTGCCTGATTACTAGTCGCATGGCTTGATTCAAGAGCCCACTTTACATATTCCCTGAGGAAAGGCTTCAGTTTCCGCCTTAGCACCACAACATCCTTTATCATGGCCTCCATTCTCCTCGCCATCCCGCGCATTATTCTCGCGTTCGAATACTTCGTCGGCGGTATTCCTAGACTCGGCCCTTGGCCTTTCAAGACGCTTCACGAGAGAATCTACCGAAAGTCTCAGAAGACTGCGCCGTTCCTCCACCCACTCTACCCTTTCACTGATCAACGCAAGATCAAGCTTCATATGCAATACATCGGAGCGCTAATGGTCACGGAAGGCTTCCTACTCGCGCTGCCACAAACCCGAGGGGGGGCTTTCGCCCTCTTCCTCGGAAGCTTTTTGACATCTTCTGGATACTGGAGCCAGATGCGAGCCGACATGCCCTATTGGCTTCCCGTCACAAACTTTGGTTTGGCGTGGCTCGTATGGTACATTGAAAAGCTTTGAGAGTATATCAATATGGAGACAGACGAGAGCTCAGATTTGTGTTGTATTACTATAGTACGTCATTAATTATGTCCAAACTTGAAGGAAACTGGATTATTTCGGCAGACTTCTTGTGCACAGAAGACTCTTCCAACTTGTCTATCTTCGTAGCAACATCACTTGAGTGTAATGCTCGAACGTAATCGGAATCCCGAGTAGTATTCTATTGTCTACTAAAACCTAACTTGAACTTGAGCAGATGAACATTCTTATATCAAGGGTCGCCCTGTAGATTGCCAGCGACAGATAGAGTCTTGAACAGCAATCACGCGGTCTCTGTCGTTTCGGATTGCAGAGGCTTTCTTCCATAGATGGACCAGCTGGAAATGTCAGCGTTGAATGCAAGAGCCTCGTCCAGGAACCAACTTACATCTTGAAGTACGCGTGGATCGACCGATCTTGGAACTCTTTTCGGATCTCAGCCATGAAAACAATGACTTCCTCCTTGCTCCAACCGTGAACCCTTGTGAAAGGGGCCATGCAGAAGCCTTCCCAACCAGCAACAAGATTCTCGTGGTTCCAGATTCCCAACTCCTTGTACCTCTCGTGCTTGGGCCAGGAGTTCGTGGGCCACTTGTACAGTTGCCTGTGGACGTCCTCGAACCCGGTATTGATTAGCACATCCTTGAGAGAGCTCATCTCGAGGAAGGGCCTTCCGATGATTTCGCCTGCGTCATGAAGTAACTTGGCAGACCTGGAGATTGCAGACTCTGGCTTCAGGGTCCCGTCATCAGATGTGGGGATGACATCGATTTCGTTCAATTCGAGGTATCCTCCAGGTTCCAGATTACTTCAACTTGTCAAAAATAAATATCTTTGAAGGTGTGAGGTGTGACTGACTCATAGCAAGTTTTGATATATGCGTTCCAGTCCTTGAGGGATGAGTTCATCATGCGACTATGAATGTAGTCGAATGAGTGAGAAAATGTCCAGGGTTGTTCAATGTCGTCGATCTCAAACTTGACGTTGGGTGGCACGCTGTACTTGATCGTCAGTATACTGTATCGGAAGCCAAATGGGATGAGAATGAGCACATACAATTCCGGCTGAATAGCGGAAAGATCAATGCCTCGCACCTACATTCTTTATTAAAAGGTGTGTGAGTTGTGTTACGTGCAATTGGGTATCAAACCTCAGCATCTGGATGCTCTTCGCCAAAGTCAATGGCCCATATGCCACTACCTGTGCCAACGTCCAACACCTTTCCCACCTTTGCGTCAGGTTCGTTTGGAGGGGCAGTTGCGAGTCTGTCATCAAAGGTCAGGATGAATAAGTTGTGCTGCAAATCTGTGTGAAATAGGTTAAGAGCTGATTTGAAAAGTGTTCCTTGGAGTTTTCATGTCATACCGAGACGATCGTTTTCTCTCTCATCATTTGGAAACCAGTATTCTATTTGATGTTTTTGAAATCAGCATCAAAGAGATCATGATCATCTCATCCCCTTTCCTTGTTAGAACTTACTCCCGTCTTTATACTTGTGGTAGGTTCTACCGTTTTCCAAACGGTAGTCTAGAATCGAACTGCTCACACTTGCACTCGAAGAAGCTACACTCTGACGGTTCTTTAGTAAGGTGACATATTACTGGAAGTTGGTCCCTCAGCCTACGCTTCCAATTTCTGAGGACGTATCGCTCTGTTTGATAGTCTTAGTATTTTCGCGCAATGCTTTGTGGACGAGGTGCATTGGCCTCACCTGTTCATCCTCGGCGAGCAAAATAACCTCATGGTCGGGCTGAGCGTTGGCATCAGCAGCCGCGTTGTTTCCAGTGTTATCCTCACACATCGTGTGTCTTCAACGTCTTCTTTCTGTACTTGGAAGACTTTGAGAGGCACCTTAACAGGGTGGACTCGAACCAGGTGACGCCTGTTGTTAACCCAGTGCGGTAATAGGTAGTTGGTCGTGGCAGAACTTGAAACTTCGTTTTCGAAGGTTCCTCCCAAATACTTGGTTGGACGCTCTCTCTCTTATTGAGAGACAAGATCTTTCCACAATTACCCCTCTTCTTGGCTTCCGCTCATGCGCGTGGAAGCAAACATTGTTGGTGCAAGACGACCAACTGCATGCGTTTTGTTCCCACTTTTACGGAGGTGCATCCCAAAATAGGAATGAGCCTCACGTATCAGAGCACGTTAAACCCAGAGCACTGGTTCATCGTGCCTACAAAGGAATGGTGGCGGGTACAGTAATCTTTCGGAACGCAGCCCGGGTCCGCGGCTATCCGCACGAGCTGCCGTTATCCTTGGACGAGCCAGCTACTGGAGAGGCCAACTGACACTGACATAATGTGATGTCCCAGTCCCGTCAGATCACCGCTAACTCAATGTCTTGTGGCACAAACTTGCAGGGTACTTCAGCTCCTGGTTACTAATTGAACTTCGGGAGGCTCCGCGAAGCTTTCGGTCCAGTGACGCAGGAGCTAGATAGCGAATCACCGGGACTGAAAGGCAGTTTTATTTCTCACCTCTCACAAACCGTTTACCAGGTCAGGACAAAGCGTTGTGGTCATAACGAGATGATGAATTAGAGAAAAAAACTCTGGGGAGTGTTCCGATGCGTCTATCTGCGCTACAGAGGTTGGTGGATCCCACTTCTCGCACAATACTCGTGAGCAGTGAGAGCATGCCGCGTCCCCCTCCCGACCATCTTTCTTGGGCGTCATCATGTCCCAGCATTGATCAGCATCCTCTCTCCTGTAAACTCCCTTCCTCTTCAAGGCGCGGGTGAGTTCATTGCTGTCTCAAGACACTTCAAATTGCATGTCTCGTTGCACACAACCTTCATGGCATGACAGCCTCAACTAAGGCGTTTCGAGTTTGAATCACTCAGCATCCATCGATGATCGAGTGAAAACGCAATTCAAGCTCATCATAGAAGTACTAAATGTACGGAGAAGCTGCCTAGTTATTCATGTCGCAGAGTCCAGCAGGTCGGGCTAGACCCGCACTGGGTTGCCGAGATATAATCAGGCCGAGAGAATATCATCCATCCTCTGTTTGCCCTAGAATGCGGCTTTTGTAAGTACCGAGTAACCTGACTCCGTAATAATCAATTCCAGATCTCATTTTAACATTTGCTAATGGGAAATGGCGGATTACATCATTAGGTAATTGCGAGATGCGAGATCAAAGTCAAAAGGTTATTTAGGTTCAGCCTCATTTCGATGAAAAGGATGGCTCGGGCCACATCGAGACCCGAGTCTTAAGCAAGATGGAGAACGATATAATAAGCGGTATAGAGCAGCAGACTCTGCGCCGGGATGATGATGACCACGCCCCATCTAGGCCACGTGGTGAATGAGAATTTGATCATTTTTGTACAAAATGTTTTGTCTTTGTATCATATATGTACATGAATAGCACACACCGTTGGCTCATGTCAAGCATGACCACATCTCCCATCAACCACCACGAACGTCACCTATGAGTCAGACGTTCTTTACGTGCAGTCGCTGGCGCCGGAGATGAAGGTGCCGTCAGAGTTCTCGCAGCCGCAGACGCCCGTGTTGGGGTCCTTGATGCAGCCGGTGCCAACACCGTCCTCTTCACCGGTGCCGCTATACATCGTAAACCCGTCAGCCACCATTCCATTACTAGCAAAAGAAAAAGAACATCACTGGTTCATCTTTTCGCAACTCACCTCCAGAAGAAAGTCCAGCAGTCGTCGTCGGTGATCATCTCGGTGGGGGACTCGCAGGTGTACGCGGAGCAGGTACCGTAGGGGTACCCGTTGTTGCCGTCGTACTGGTGGTCGGTCTCGAAGACGGCGAACGTCTGGGTCTTGCTGGTGCGGGTGTTGTGGGAGCACTCGGCGGCCTGGATGGCCTTTGAGACCTTTGTGGCGCTGCAGTTGTAGCTCGAGGGACACTTGCCCTTGGTGTTGGAGGTGGCCGGGTCGAGGGTCGCGGCCACGAGGGCGGGGGCGAGGAGGAAGAGGGCGGAGAGCTGCATCTTGAGGCGGTTAGAGGTCGGAAAATGGGTAAGAACGAGTGTGATGTGTTTCCGGTTGTGTTGTAAACGAGAGTTATCCGAGTCCAGCCCAAGGAGTTGCAAAGAATTGAAGCACGAATGAACGGTGGTGTGTGAGAATGGAGAGCAAGATCAAAAAGAGACTTTCGGAGGAAAAAGGGAAAGTCGCGTCAAGTTCATATATAGATTGCTCAAAGTCGACCCATCCCTGGGATTTGTTTCCCTTCATCTTGGTCTGGTGTTCTCTGTGGGTGGTAGCGTATGTCCAATGTAAATTGATTCTGGGGCCCGCGTTTCGAACAAACGAACGCATTACGAGCGCCTGGAGGCCGGCCGGCCCCTGAGCGCGCGGCACCCGGTCCCGGCGGGGCGGGAAGCATCCCAGTCTCCCGCTCGAAATCGGGTTCTAGACCTTTTGGGTTTCTATTTCCATCAGACAGACCCGTTCACCTCAAATCAAGAGGCCATTTGAGAATCGACGGTGCCTGACGGACGTCGAGAGCTTGTTCGATGCCAAGTCATCAACCTGGGAGAACAAGAAAGGCTTGGCTCTCCTGAGTGAGAGTTTCTGCTGACACCCCTTACCCATCGTCCCAAATCCCCACACAATCTGACATTTCCCGCGGTGGATCCCGCGGCACTGCCTTGGCCAGCTAATACATCGTGTTCTGTTGTTTTTATGACATGACAGACCTCCACTCACCCACATCTCATGTCTCTCAGAACTCAACATGAGAGTTCATCAGACGAACCAGCACATCAAGTAAATAGGCAGAGCTGCAGCCCGCCGTTCACATTTGGATACAGGAGCTCACTCAGTCAATATCCCTACTTGAGGTAAGACGCTCGGAAGCAGCTGACGTTTCATCCGGACAGGTGAGCTCAACTCAGCCCAGAGCAGAGCCCAGGGGTCGAGGAAATTAAAGGCGATCAGTGGGGACTCCCGCGTCCTGCATTTCCAGCGCACGGCGAACGATGCCGTTCACTAACTCATTCACCAAACGGGTGAACGCATCACTGTGGCTTAGACAAAATATCGTTCAAATGTACCAACTTATCTTTGATGACGACGCTCTCTAAAAATCCGTGAATTGCAGGCTCTTGCATGTTTGTGAGAAATTGTTGCTTAGGTCGAGTCGCGAAAAAAGAAGCAAATCTCGCCAAAACTGTGTCACTGTGGGCACGGCGGACGGCACAAGTGGGAGAAGTTTAGATGTTTCAAGCATAACAAAGCTCGAATGATTTTGAGCGACGGAACTCGCGTGAGTCGTGTTGTTGCTAGTCACTCTATGCGCGACATTTTCAGGAGCTTGGTACGACAGATGAGATAGAAGTGAGGCTTACGCGGCGCGTCAATCCTCGAGACGATCATCTTTTGATCTAGTGAATACTTCAAACTTGCTCGTTCTTTGAACGTCCTGATCTCTACTGAGTAGGTTTCGTCGGAATTGCTTCTCCCTCGCACGAGGGCTTTCTCTATGTGATTCGCGTCGATCCAGTCGCTGGCCCGAGCTTCAGCATACGGGATTCTCATGAAGGCTGATAATTGAGATCGATTATTGCTCGATTAACCTTTGAGGCTCGCCGGGATCAAGCAGATGTCTTGGCATCACTTGGAAGCCGTCTAAAGCACCAATGAGACGCGAGGTCGTCTTCGGGCATTTAAAAGGCGCAAAGTGTGGGGTGTTGCAGCGACCGGGCGTTCTAATCTGGGGTGGAAGCTTGTGATCTCTGGTGAGAATAACCTCATCAGTCTTTTGGCTTATACTCAATCCCATCGACATTTACTCAGACGTCGACATACTATTTCAACAATAGCCATCCGGCTTCAATGAGATGAATCTATCCCATTCCCTCGATCCGAATAGTCTAAGTTTTTCACCGCATATCAAGCACAACATTACTACCCTTCCCGCCCCCGTAAAACAACCTCACATTCTCCCCGACAACCCTCCGGATATTCACCCTCGTCTGATCAGCGCACCACGCCAAATGCGGCGTCAGCGTCAAGTTTAAGCCCTTTGCCTCCTCCCCCAGTAACACACTATCCTGCCCACTCCCCGCCGGCTCAACCTCATAAACATCCGTCGCCGCCCCCGAGATCCTACCCTCCCGCAACGCTGCCACCAGCGCAGCCTCATTCACGGTCCCGCCCCGCCCGACGTTGATAATCACGGCGTCAGGCCTCATCGTCGCCATCTCAGCCTCGCCGACGAGGTTTTTGGTCTCCGCCGTGAGGGGCACGATGAGGAAGAGTGTCGTTGCGCGACAGATGACCTCTGCGAAGGGCGTGCGGTGGACGTCTCCGTTGCCATTCGGCCGAGCGGCGGCAGCGGGAGTCACCCCGTTACCGTTCACAGCAGGCGCGGCATCGTTCTTCCTCGCAGCGACGAGGACCTCCATGCCCAGCGAGCGACACATCTTGGCGACGCGCTGCCCTATGGGCCCGTAGCCGATCATCCCCACCACCTCGTTGCCGCACGTATGCGGCGGGCGGCCCTCGCTGTCGAGGAGGAGGGAGGACATGCTCCCCTTTGCGCGCCAGGGGTTCGGGCGGCCCTCAGCGTGGTCCATCATCGTGTTGTGGAGCGTCACGAAGCGTCGGCGGGATGAGAAGTACTAGAGTTCCCCGGCGTCCAAGGTCAGTGAACAGCTTTCTCTCTCTTTCCACCCCTAGTCGATGATGGCTCATGACTTGAGACGTCGAAGATTCATCTCAAATTAGAGAGCGGAAGGACTCACCAAGCCGAGGGCGTGCTCGGAGACGGCTTCGACTGTCGCGTTGGGTGAGTATATCACGGTCACGCCGCGACGCCTGCACTCCTCTAGATCGATGTGGTCTGTTCCCACCGTCTCTGTGATGATACACTTTCTGCGTCGTCCACGTCGTCAGCCATCACTCGCCTTCAAACCAGCTAGCTATGTCGAGTTTGCTTCTGGGCACGGTAATGTAGGCAGATTGGCGGTGGTCGTTTCCCAGCTCAAGTAGACACTTGTCTTACAGGACTCCTAGAGGGAAGACTTCCAAAGTCATCAGCCCTGCCCGGTACACCATACCCTCTCAATCTCGTGGTCTGGTAGGTAGGAATCACTCGATCCTGCGCCAGACCGCCTTGCCCGGCCATTGACCTCATTACTCTTAGAAGCAACAGTACCTTTCCCCCTGAGATCCTCTCCTCAACTCATCCTCACCTCAACCCCCACCCCCTCCTCCCTCTCAACCCTTAGCCCCCACAACCCAAACCGAACTCCCCCAAGACTGAAGAAAATTCAACCCAAAACTCACAAATACGGCGCCTCCCCAAGCGTCTCCTTATTAATAGGCACAGTCGTCGTAATCAGCACGCTCGCAGGCCACGCCCTCGCCGCCGCGACGGCGCTCTCCGAGGGCCGGGTATACTCGTACCCAATAACCTCATGCGTCACTCCCGGTCCCAGGTCACCATCATTGACCTCCGGAGGCGGCACGTGGATCGTCTCGAGCTTGACGATGACGTGGTGCGTAGCCGAGGGCGGGCGGGCGGGCTTCTTTACTTCTGTCGCGGGGTCGGCCATTGCTTCCTTCGTTGGTTGTGTTCCCTTTTTGTAAAGGTGTGTTGTCTGCTGTGCTCTTTGTAGGCTTGAAGTAGACGTTTGAAGGACGGTGAGTCTCTAAAGATGTGAGCACGATGGATGATGATAAGGGAGTGTTTATACCAACGGTGGTGTAACGACAAACACGCCCTACAGATGGAACCCGTGTTAAAGTCGCGCAGTCGATGTCTTGTTTAGTCTCAAAAGTCTAAAAGATCTCGTCTCAACTTGATATATGCAAGCCACAGCTGTAAACTCAGATCCCAAACCTCAATCCCAAGAAACGAGCGACGAGATAAGTATTTGTGTACGGCTGGCTACTTATCTTATCAAAACACCAGAAAAAAGCAAGGAAAAAAGAGCCTCAGGGGTGCCACAGCTCCGGACATAACACTCTGCTGCTCCCTTCCAAAGTTCCCAACCTCGCTAGTGCCATGCTACTTTCTCCGCGCTCCGCATTTTCCCACTCCCGGGACGCGATAAGATCGGCACATGTAATATGACATGCCGTGTGTTTGCTACTCGATGGAAGGGCGCGGTGTGGAGATGGCGCGGCTTCGATTTTTGACATCCACATATCCATGATCCATCCACACAACCACAAACCCCAAGCCCCTCGACGCCCTCACCCTGAACTCAAACGCGGGGAGCCGCAAGAAGGGTGTGACAACCGCGGAAGGAATTCCGTGCTTACCATGCGGCTTACAATGTCTGAGAGACCCTCACGAAAGGCGCTCGTCTTTTCGTGCAACACGTAGAACGGAATAACATCTCTCACAAATCAATTTGACAAGCTCTGCCACTGCTCCAAGACATGCATGTAATGATGGCATCATTTCTCTCTTTTGGCAAAATGTCCTAGTCCTGTTCCTAACTCTAGACGGGACCATCTGCCCGAGGACTTTTCTCGCCCGGGACAGTATTGCTACTGGTTCATCCACTCACGTTCCAATTATCCTACTCCCATCAAGCTGCAAACCCCTTGACAGCAAAACTCAACACGAACCTCGCCCATCCTATTTCCTAAACGTAGCGCTCCTCTCACCTCTGGGAGGCGGCGCCTTTCTCGCGCCCTTGAGCGGCTCATCGCCCGTCTTCGCATACGGATCAAACGTCGGCTTGACGTGCGTCTTGCCGCGGTTGCCTGTCCTCGCCGCATGGAGCACCGATGTGGCCTTGCTGTAGTCAAACGTCTCCTCCTCCTCGTCGCTGTCGCTCGAGTCCACACCGTCAGCCTCCTGCTGCTCGGCTTTCTTCGCCTCCTTCTTGGCCTTCTTCGCGGCACGCTTCTGTTCCTTCCTCGCCTGCTTCTCCGCCTCCTTTTGAGCCTTCTCGGCCTTCTTCGCCGCCTTCTTCTCCGTCTTGGACTTGCGGTTATTGATCGCCGTCAGGTATCCTTGCAGTTTTCT